CCACGACAGCTACATCATCGCTATGCAAACACAGACATCACCGGAACTTACGGCGAGACATCACCATCCAGAACCATCGTCACACATAACCATCACACCACAACAACCACACATCATCACTCTACATCACCACCAAACATCATCACCACAGATCATCACCGCACATCACCAACATCATCACCCATCATCACCACACATCATCACCACACATCATCACCATACATCACCACCCCCACATCACCACACATCATCACCACTCCACATCATCACACCACCACACATTACCATCCCACATCACCACCACACCACCACACATCACCACCCCACACCACCCCACATCACCACCCATGGTCGCTCTTTCAGCGTCACGCCCAGCGTTGGGGTCACACGCCTATTGAGTAAAACACTTTCCGGATTCCATTCTAATGGTCCAGACGTCAACTCCAATGCAATCCGGATTCAAATGACTACATGGATTACGTTTCAATGACGTCCGAATTAAATTACGATTAAACCCGCGGATTCAAATTCCGGCACAATTGGGATCGGATCGCAATGCAAACTCGATTTGTTTCTCGGACGAAAATGGCGTGAAAGATTTCCGATTCAGTTCGAATACAATTTCGGATTTCGATTCCAATGAACGTTAATTTCCAACACGAACTATGGTACATTCCAAACACAATTCCTATACAATTTGGATACATCGAGGTTACAATTTCACACGCAATTGAAGGTTTCAAGACACAAAAAAATTATCATATTTTTGTACACAATTCTGATACAAACCAAACCAAAATTCCGGCGAAATGTGAATGTTATTTCAATCACACAATTCGGCAGTAACACAATATATGGCTGAAATTAAAAGCGGGTCAAATGGATGGAGATGTGGGGGGTGAGAGATTGGGAGGAGGGGGGATTAGAGGAGGGAGGGAGGGGTATGGGGGGGGGGCTGGATCGCCCGCCTGGACCTCACCTGAATCCCCCACGTGGAACTCACCGTCACGGAACCGTCGCGCGCGCGCGTGTGAATGAGAGGGCTCGGCGCGTGCACGCGCGCTTATAGGGCGGAGTGACGTCAGCACAGCAATCGCCTACACAAGACAAAGATCCCCGGTATAGCCTTTGGCAGGATGTTGGGGGCAAGGGCTGTCAGCTCGCACCTATGAATTGCCGGCGCGGCGCACGAGGAGATGGGTGGCTCGCGCCACGCTCGACCGCCTTTGTCTCCCCGGTGGCGATGTTTACACACCGCACCAGCTTACTCGTTTGAAGTTGAGTCGACCTGGAAGAGGCCGAGGGCCGGTTCAGATATTCGCGACTGTAATCCGTCGCGAGTGGGGATGGAAATCGGGTCGACGGGTTCGTAGCGCAGTGCGCTAACCACTGCGCCACCGCTCCCTACCACGGAATATCAAACATAAATACAAAGATACCCCGTATAGCGTTAACAGACTTTTCAGCCAAGTGCTGTTAACGAGCGCATGTGAAGGCCGGAACGGCACACAAGGAGATGGGTGGCCAGCACAACGCCCGACCTCCTTCGTTTACACATAGCACCAGGTACTCATTTGAGGCTGAGAAGACCTGGGTGGGAGGTCCAGAACCGGTTCAATAATAGTCTTCACCGGGAATCGCCCCCACCGCCTCCCCCCGCCACATCCCTCACTCCCACCTCTCCTCTAGGGAGGTTACAGAATACGTGGGCTCGTGTTTCGATGTTCTATTGTTACGTTTTATAATGTGTTTACACACGTTATGCACTCTGTGCATCAAATTAACCTTTGTTATTGTTTTATAAGAACTCCGTGACGTGGTGAGTGGGTGAGTTTGCTGCACCAATCGTTGGTTACGTAGTACAGGATGCTGGTGATGAAATGTCCTGCAACGTGCTTGCCACACACTCTAACGCGCAGTACGTTTTTTATGTTGAACTTCTTTCGCACCGTACGTAGCCAACCGCGCTAATCGGAGGAGCGGATGAAGAAGAGCAGACTAAACACAAAAAGCAGTTCTAAAGAAATGAGTTTTCAACCGATATTTTAGAATGCATAGTCCAGCGAGAGAGGTGTACGTACATATACAGTGGTGTAGCGCGGTGCCATCAACATTTAGACTCGCACAGAGAGTCATAGACTCGCACAGAGAGTCATAGACTCGCACAGAGACCCGTAGACTCACGTAGATACCCATAGACTCATATAGAGACCCATAGACTCATATAGAGACCCATAGACTCACATAGAGAACCATAGACTCACACGGCATCGCATGGACTCGCACAGAGACCCATAGACTCATACAGAAATCCATATACGCACACAGAGACCCATAGACGCACAATAAGAGCCTTAGACACACACAACGACTCATAGACGCACACAGAGACCCACAGACTCACAGAGAGATCCATATACTCACACAGAGACCCACAAACTCAAAGAAAGCCCCAAGGGTTCCCCGTGCAGTTACATATCCTGCACACTCGATAGCTAAGTTCCTGTAACGATTTTCTCCGAACGATTCATGAGCTCGAGTCTGCGCCAGAATCCTATTCACGACATTTTGATGCTGCGTGCGCGTATGGGAGTCTCTGGAGGCCCAGTGATTCCCATAGAGACATCATAATACACAGCATGGATACAAAGTAGCCATGTTTTGCATGAACAAATATAATGAACAATTCTATTCGAAAATCTCCGTGTGCTGTCATCTATTCTCAGTACGCAGCTGAAATCGTGCCCAAATTCTTCTTGACCATTTCTTCCAAGTGGATGGCTGCGTATTACACAACGCAGTTCCGGATAGCTGTTTTAAGTTCCTTAATACAGTATTTATACATGTCAACCGTGATATACTCTTCTTGATAATTATCCAAAAGGAATTATCGATCCATCGTCTACTGAAATCCCAAATTAAAGATCCCATAACTGCGAGGGCATAATGCGCACCAGAGCCCCCTCCCTCATCATGCAAAGGGACTCTGTGGCCATCCTGTACACTTCACCAAACCCACAATGATCGGCGTGGTCAAGTATGGTCAAACAACCACCATGACCCACCCCTGCAGGACCTGGGATCGAAAACTCTCAACAAGCAGTGGATTGAAATAAGGACTGTGTAGACATAATCACGTACCTGTAAATTCACATACAAGCACGTATGAATCTGTAATTTTGATCGATTTGTTTTCGCGTGCAAAAGCTCATTACAGGGCTTTCTCGTGGTGATATTTATAGGACGTAAATCAATACTACAGTCTGTAATAATCATAATATTCGACATACAATTGTTCCAAGTTCTGAGCAAAACCACATCGGCCTATGATCTGTAAACGCGTTAACAGATTTAGTGGCACAGTATTAAAATATACGCATATAGCAAAATATGTACCCAGCATACTTGATGCACACGTGCACATACACACGTTCCGGTATGTGTGTACAATACACTGTATACGAACCGTTTGATTTAGGAACGAGTCTCAGGAACGAATAATGTTCATAAGTCTAGGATTGCCCGTCCTATAGATATGTGGTGGTGTAGTGGTTAGCGACAGGAGTTCAATTCTCGCTCACGGTCAACAACAGTGGCGAATATTTGAACCGGTCCTGTGCCTACCCCAGGTAGACTCGGCCATAAATGAGAATCTGGTGCGGTGTGTAAAACATCAGCACTTGGGAGACAAAGGCGGTCGGGCGTGGTTCTGACCAACCCACCACCACCTCTCATGGTGTGTCGGCTTTTATCCTTGCTAACAACACTTCATTGTGTAGACATACAACAGCACATGTCTGTATACGTGTAGTGTGTATACGTGTGCCAAGTGGCAATCTGAGTCAACTTGCCCATCTCCGAGGTCGACTCGATCTAATTATACAATTGTAAAGTGGTGGCGTAGTTTTTTGTGGTCGTGTGTGTGAGCATCAGAACTGGGTGGGTAAGACGGAGGCGTTTGTGGGGTTTTTAACCGGACCCACGACTCTCTGCTTGCATCCCTATCTCGCGCGTGTACACGTGTAAAGTGTTGACCTTAATAGGTGCCAGCTAACGGCACTTCTCCACACGATGTCCTTTCCTAGTTTGTATTCGGGTATTTTAGTGCGGGCACAATATGAGCATGTATTTCAGACGTCAGTAAAATGGAATTCAAATGTAGTCCGTTACTATAAAAACACCTATACATGAAGCATTCTCTGAATTATGAGGCCACTTTTCTTTCCCACCTCTCTGTATTTTAAAGCAAACGTTAGGGGGTGCGTATTACAATCCCCTGTGTGTGTGGTAGGTGTGTGTGTCTTTATGAACATAATTGTATCAATTGTATTGACACGCGTCTTATTGACACATCGCTCAATTTCCAGAGCGTCTTATACTGGGGAGAATACGGTACGCATACTTGATCTGCTTGCTCGAGATAATTTAAACAAAACAAACATGATTGTGAAGAGCGACTTTTAAAACAGCTGCGTTCGGCGGTGGGGGGGGGATCATGTTCGAACCATAACTCTAGGAAACTTGGATGATCTGTGATTTCCTGTAATAAAACTCACGATTACTCACGCAGACGTGTTGGCCACACTCACAAAGCACGTACACGCGCGCACACACACACGCCCGCGTTCACACCCACGCACAGGAAACACGCGTTCACGTTGACCGGCAAAAAAGCAAAGATCGTCCCGCATAGACTTTCGCAAAGTTCTGGGAAAAGGGCCGTTAGTGAGCGTCTGTTACGTTGATTTCCTGCCTGGGTTTGATCCTGCACATAGCTCACGGTCCATCCTAAATCGCATCCACTGCACAAACCGTGGCAGTAGATGCGAATACCTGATGCACAAATGGCAAGTAAAAAAAAACACAACTTCTCCAGTAGTGTGCGACTGTGGTCATCCAGAACAGACCGGGTAACGCAATGCCCCGATCATCAAATACGAAGGAGACATCACGGCGATACCACTCCGCTTGCTCCTGACGCCGTTAAATGGCTTGATCACCTGAATGTGAAATTGTAGTTGTTGCTCTGCATCCACATCAGCCGTACGAATGATTAAGGCGAGCACGGGGTCGCATGGTCAACGCCAACGCCCGGCCGCCTCCGTCTCCCCGAGTGTTGATGTTTACACGCCGTACCATGTTGTACAGCCTGAGTTGACACCTGGGACGGGTTCTGATATCACGACTGATGATAGCCGTGGCTCGGAATCGGACCCAGGGGGCCGAGGTTCTCGCGGCGCACAATTACGCATTGTGCACTGCTCCCCCTACTAACTGTACGTGTGCGCGCACGTGTCGGGAGTGTTCGCACGTACACAGCAGACAGTCACGACGCGTAGCGTGAAGCAAATCACCCAACAAAATGCGCATGTCCCCGAGAAGATCAATGGGTGCCGCGGGATCGTGAATAAAAAAAAAATATCGGCTGGAATTCAGATCCTAATACACGTAATTAAGTTAACATGTGAAAAACCATAATTATGATCTCTTATCTTGTATGTGCATCTCTTATCTCACGACATCTCTTGTCTCTTGTCTCCAGGGTGATCCGGATGTCTTGTGCCCCCACACCCCCCCACCAATTAATCGACCCCTATTTGTTTTCCTTTGTAATATTCATTTATGCTTTAAATATTACGTTTTAAATAATTAAATGGAGGGTCACAATACATCTGGACCACCCTGTACGTCTCTGTGATCTCACTACATTTACGTCGAATCAGTCAGTACGTGTCTCTCTTCTCAAATCTCGCAAGAACTCTAGCTCTTGGCTAAATCGCTTTCTGTCATTTTATTGGGAGGTTATAAAATGAAAGGGGAGGATCCACAAGTCATGGCTGCTTGTGGCTCCCAATGACCCAACACCACTGCACGTACACACCAACCACAAAGATCCCCCGTATAGCCTTTGAACACTGTTGGGGCGAGTGCTGTAAGCTTACGATACGAAACGTGAGGTTATAAGGTGGGGCAGACCGACGCCCGCCCGACCGCCTTTGTCTCCCCAATGCTGATATTTACACAACGCACCAGGTACTCATTTAAGGCTGAGTCGACCTAGGGGAGGCCCCAGCAGTTCAAGTGGCCGGGTTCGTAGCGCAGTGCGCTGACCACTGCACGACCGCTCCCCATACTAACCACACATCCTCACGTGCACGTGGCTCCACGCGTACGTGTTGGGTTGTGATAGCGCAGTAGCTCACGCCGTTGCGCTACCAACCCGACCTTCACAGTTCGATGCCCGACCAAGGCCGATTTCACCTTTACACGGTGTTGTTTATCTGAAGCGGTTCCTCTGCAGGGCACCCCGAGGTCGACCCAGCCTTAAATGAGTCACTGATGCGGTGGGGGAGACAACGGCGGCCGGGCGTGACTTTGTCCACCCCCACCAATGTCGTTCGCCGTGCCAAACCTTAACGGGTGCTCGCTAACAGCACTCTCCCCGACAGCCTGTGTGTGCCTATCCGGGACACCTTTGTGTATATGTGGGCGTGCGTGTTGGCTTGTGTAATTGAAATTCTGGCTCCTCCCAGTCTGTGCGTCTCATGTTTGTAGGTCATTCTCTCGGTGGGGTGTGTTGCGAGGGAGTAGTGGCGCAGTGGTTAGCGCGCTGAGCTACGAACACGGCGACCCCGAGTGGGATTCCCACTCGCAGGCCAACACCGGTGACAATCATCTGAACCAGTAGCTGGGTCTCCGTTAGGTCGACTCAGCCTCAGACGAGTACCTGGCGTAATGTGTAAACATCGCCACTGGGAAGACAAAGGCGGCCGGGCGTGGTTGCTGGCCACCCACCCCATCGTGTGCCGTGCCGGCCTTCATAGGTGCTTCTCGCTAACAGCACTTGCCCCGAAAGTCTATTGAGGCTACACGGGCTTTGACTGGTGAGGGAGCGGTGGCGCAGGTGGTTAGCGCACTGCGCTACCACCGATCCAGGCCACTTATAATAGGGAAATGTGTGGCTACACTGCCCTCTGCTGCCAACGTAAGCCTCGCCCAGCCTATACGCACTGACGGTGGCCAATTTAAGGTCGATTCTCGCTCACTGCCACCACAAACACCGGTGACGATTATTTGGGCCTCCCCTATGTCGACTCAACCTCAAATGAGTACCCGGTGCTATGTATAAGCATCGCCACTGGGAAGACAAAGGCGGCCGGGCGTGGTTCTGGCCACACACCCCCTCGTGTGCCGTGCACGCTTCCATAGGTGCTGCTGGTTAACAACACTTGCCCCAAGTCTGTAAAGGCTGTATACAGGGGGGGGGGGGCTGTATACAGGGGGGGCTGTATACAGGGGGGGGGCTGTATACGGGGGGGGGGGCTGTATACAGGGCGGGCTGTATACAGGGGGGGGGGGGGCTGTATACAGGGGGGGGGCTGTATACAGGGAGGGGGCTGTATACAGGGGGGGGCTGTATACAGGGGGGGGGCTGTATACAGGGGGGGCTGTATACAGGGGGGGGCTGTATACAGGGGGACCTGTATACAGGGGGGGGCTGTATACAGGGGGGGGGTTGTATACAGGGGGGGCTGTATACAGGGGGGGCTGTATACAGGGGGGGGGGCTGTTTACAGGGGGGCTTATACGGGGAGGGGGCTGTAAACAGGGGGGGGGCTGTATACAGGGGGGGCTGTATACGGGGGGGCTGTATACAGGGGGGGCTTATACGGGGAGGGGGCTGTAAACAGGGGGGGGGCTGTATACAGGGGGGGCTGTATACAGGGGGGGCTGTATACAGGGGGGGCTGTATACAGGGGGGGGGCTGTATACAGGGGGGGCTGTATACAGGGGGGGGGGGCTGTATACAGGGGGGGGGCTGTATTTGTGTACGTATGTTCCAACCTAGGTCGATTCAGCCTAAAATGAGTACCCGATGCGATAAGTGAACAGCACTGGGGAGACAAAGACGGCCAGGCGTGGTTTCTCGCCACACCACTTCTTCGTGCGCCCTAATTGGTTTTCGCTCACCGCACTTGCCCCACCTGTCTGTCATGGCTACAGGGGAAACTTTGACTTTGTATGTGTATGCAGTACTGTATGTAAATGTCAGTGTGTGTATACGTGTCCGTATGTGTGTGTTTTATCAGTGGGAGACAAAGGCGGTCGGGCGTGGTGCTGGCTGGCCACCTACCCATCCACCGTGTGCCGTTCCGGCCTTCACAGGTGCTCGCTGACAGCACTTGCCCCAACAGTCCGTGAAGGCTATACGGGGGATCTTTGCCTTTATCTGTGTGCGCACGGCTCCACTCAGACTGCGCGTCTCGTGTGTAGGGCATTCTCTCGCGGAGCGGTGGCGCAGTGATGAGCTTCATTGCGCTTTGGACCTGATAACATGAACCTGAGTTCGATTCCCGGCCTCGGCTAACAGCACGGGCGAGCGATATCTGAACCGGGTGTTTGGGCCGCTCCTAGGTCGACGCAGCCTCAAATGTGTATACCTTGTACGGTGTGTAAACATTAAGCACTGGGGAGACAAAGGTTTGGTAACATGACGTGTCCCAGCATCTTTGTGCGCGTGTAAACGTGTATGTGTGTGAGACAGAAGCGAATTTACCTCTAAATATCTGGGCACATTAAGTGTGCTCCTCCAGCAGATGAGGAATTGTTGCCTTTGTCATGTAACTAGAATGACTAGCCGGATAGAAGAGGGTAAGTGGCACTGATCTGGTACGATTGAAATTTTTACTTATTGGATTTGCGGCTGAATGGTCTTAGCGAGTATAAAAATCGGCCTCATTTATTTTTCCTCTGGTGCCCCCAATGGTCTGAAACTCCGTTTCTCCCACCTACAAACCGTGCTGTCAACTCCCTGCTACTGGACATCTGTGTCAAAAGGAGCTTTATAGATAATCGGATCCCTCCAGTATAATTAAATATTTTTTTTTATCTTTAATTCAAGACTCAATAGCCTATCGTATATGGAGTTATGTCGCGCTTTATTCCAAGGCGCTTTACAACATTTATACAATTGTACGTACCATGATAGTGGTTGAAATAAAGAGTGGGGTTATTAAAAGTGTGTGTGGTGTAATTGTGGTGATAGGAGAACAGGTTGCAGTGGTTAAGGAGGGGCTGGGGTAGGCCTGATCGTAGCTGGGGGGAATACCAGCAGGAGTAGTCATAGGGGAAGTGAGAGGGATAGTGATATGGGTAGTGATATAATCAGAGAATGTATTTATACTGGAGGAATACGATGAGATATGACGCTCTTTTACACAGGTGTCCGATAGGGGCGGGTCAGAACGTTGCAACAACAAACAATACACAAAACACGATAAGTGCGCAAAGTATAGGAAAGGTAAGCAAATAACTTTTCAAAGACACAAATAAAACTAGATCTTTCTTTATGTTACCAGGTAAAGCCCACTGAGCTATTAGCTTCCTTTTTAAAAGCAACCTGGCCACAAATGATAGCTCATGTGGACATTTCAATCAGCCCAATAATCTAAATAATCTAAATAGTAGTGGTAGGGGTTGGGGTAGGTCTGGTCGTAGCGGTGGGAGGGGGGCAGGGAGTAGCAGTCGTGGTAGCGTCTGGCTAGGATAGAAGCACAGAGTCTCGAGATGTGGTCGCATTTTCGACGCGATACGAATACAAAAATTGTATACGTTGGACGATGATCAACATTTTGTGGCACGTCAATTGGTGGCCATCGTACGGACGTCCTGGTCCTCGCCGCGGGAATGTGGAATTGTACGCACGGTGGGCGGCCGCTGAATGACGACGAAGGTGGTGATGATGATGCGGGGATGCGAGCGATGTGCGCACGTGCACGTACGCAGTGACGTCACCGGTGGGGATCACTTGCCTCTTGGGGGGACGGGGGGGCATCATCGTATTCGTAATCATGATGAGTAACATCGTATTAATCATCATCATTAATTAATAACATCGTATCCGTAATCGTTGTTTGTAACGTAGTATTAATCTTAATTTAAAATATCGTATTGATCATTTATAGAATCATCATTAGTAACATCGGAGTCATCATCAATTATTATAATATCGTATTAATCAGCATCATTAGTAACATCGCATAGTATAATCATTAATAACATCGTACAGTATTCATAATCATTAATAATACCGTCATCATCCTTTAAAAAACAACGTGTTCATCTTTAAAATATAGTTCAGTATTTATAATCACTAACAGCCATCATTAACCTTCGTCATCATTATTTACCATTGTCAACATAATCATCCTCAACAAACAAGAAAATCATCATCACTGGCCATCCTTCACCAGGTCTCCTTATCCACCAGACCCACCCCTCCTCTCTGCCGGTGTCATAATCGGAGGGGGATGTGAAATATTTTCCAGAGCTCGGTCCCGGTCAGCTCCAGATGAAATTCATCCCTGGTCTTCACCATGCGGCCTCCTAGGATTGAATCTTTTCAGCAGCATTGATTGAAATTCAAGCAAACTCTGGACCGGTTTCGATTCCCATTGCCTCGCCAGACTTTGCATGAATAAAGTGTCTGTATTACAGGTCGGAACATTCTTGTTGACTTCGATGCTGCAAGAGAGGAATAACCGGTCTCCGCGCCTTTACGGCACATTACGAAATGTTTGGATGTTTTGATTATTATACCTTTCTCAAAAACAAAAAAAATCCCGCGACCTACATTTATATCCTGTATGAGTCTGCTATGTAAAATAGTTGGAAACCAATGGCGGAGCCAAGATTTTCAGGTAGGGGTGGGGGGCAACCCCTTCAGCAATGAAAAATGATAGAGGAGTTGTTAGTAAGTACTAAAGGACTTGTCTCTTGGACGCGTGTGCGGCGATGGCCCAGCCATCGATCGAGGGTCGAATTCGAACCGCGTTGTGATCGGCATCGCGTTCGCTGAATCCCTTCAGGGAAGTCGTGTGCTGTATACGCGACTGCGCACAATTCTGAGTCACCTATAATTGCTTTGCTGTTACTTATTGGCAATTATGGAACAATAGTCCTATCATCTCAGAGTCCCTGGCACGTAATAATATGCTACACAGTGGCAGTGGTGGTCGCAAATGCTGATTTATTACTAATAAACCCCAATGATCCGATCGATATTAGGGATTTCGATCGGATCATTGGGGGGCTATGTGCCACCCCCCTCCCCCCCCACTGGCTCTGACAGTGGTTGGTACATTGTCTCGTAAAATGTATTTACTTTAAATACATTATTTGGTGATAATTGCGTTGCCAGTGGTGCACAACCACAAATAACAAAACAACTGAACACATTTGTTAATAATAATGGTATAAAAAAATAACTAAATGTTTGTAATCAGCGACGTTCCGGGCAATGTCCCTTCTTTACAGCACACACAGAGAGACCAGAGAGATATAAGGACGTATCTGGCGACTATCCAAATATCTCCACCGCTACCCCAAGTATTAAAACAGTTAAAGATCTGTGCACTGTCTTTGTACTATTTGCCTGTTGGCGTTCTCTGGTCTGACTCTGGCAAGACAAGGGAATAAAGAAGGCAGTCTCTGGTGTAAGCCAATCAGTTTCAAAGCCAACGCATATATTATAAGAGCACGTTTATACTGGTAGGAACGAAGTTGTAAACTGAGTGTACCAGCCTGCAATAGATTAATGCGTCCGTCCGTCCCCTTTCAATACTTTAACGAAGTGAAATCTCGTGCTGTTGGGTGTAAAATCAGCAATAGACAGCGCAGAGACTTGTCCTACCAGCCCACCCTGCAGGGACCTGTTTTGCATGTTTTGCCACAAGTACGTGTGGTTAATGCAGACTGTATACCTTGCAAAAGGTATCGATTTGGTGTTCGAACATCTTAACGCAACTGTTTTATTACCAAAACCCATCCTTAATATTTTCATCGTCTCCAATGTCGTTTGTGGCGATGTTCTTCTACTTTGAAGAATTCGGCGACGACTCTGCAAGATCGTAATCCTCAGCTCGTAGAGCGCCACCACGTGGCGTAGCAGCGGCACTGTGCACTACCAAACACGTGGCTCCATCCCACTCGCGTCGTCCTCCAAACCCCCCGGCGGCTGTTGAGCCGCTTTTATCAAGCCTCTCGCGATGCCCTTCGACTCGAGGAGGCTGCAGGGCCCCGAGGACTCCCAGTCGCCGCTTCTCTTCTGCGCCCCTGCGGCCCCCCGGGCGCTGCTGGACGGCCGAGGCAAGCGGGCCGACGGGCGCGCCCCGGACGAGCTGCGGGCCTCGTTCGCGCGTGCCGGGCTGCTGAGCCAGGCCAAGGGCTCGGCCTACGTGGAGGCGAAGAACACCAAGGTGCTGTGCGCCGTGCACGGACCCAGGGAGGTGTTACGCAGGGAGGACTTTAGTATGAGCGGCCGCCTCTACTGCGACTTCAGGGTGGCGCCGTTCGCGGGCGCGCGGCGCTGCGAGGCGCGGCCCCCCGGCGGCGACGAGCGCGAGGCCGCCCTGGCCGTGGTGCAGGCGCTGGAGGCCGCCGTGCGCCTCCACCGCTACCCCAAGGCGCAGATCGACGTCTTCGTCACGGTGCTGGAGGACGACGGCGGGGCCCTCGGCGCGGCCGTCACGGCGGCCTCCCTCGCCCTCGCCGACGCGGGCATCGAGATGTACGACCTGGCCGTGGGCTGCTCGGCGCGCCAGGCCGGCGCCGTGCTGCTGCTCGACCCCAGCGCCGCCGAGGAATACGGGCGGTATGGGGAGCCGGCCCGGGGCCCCTCGGTCCAGGCGGAGCAGCACGGTGGCCTGACGGTGGCCCTGCTGCCGTCGCTGGACCAGGTCTCGGGCCTGGTGTGCCAGGGCGAGTGGGACGAGCAGGTCTTGCGGCAGGCCGTGCGGGAGGCCGTGGATGGCGCTCAGCGCCTCTACCCCTTGCTCCAGCAGTGCCTGCTCAGGGCCGTGCGGCGCTCGGTCCGGGCCCCAGAGGCACCACCGGCGGGGCCACCGGCGGGGCCACCCGGGGACGCGGGCAGCGACGCGGGGATACCCCCGGGGGAGAGCGAGCCCTGAGGTCGCGAACCCCGCCACAACCTGAACTCTTCATCTCGGCGCAACGTGTCCAGACCATGGTTGTTCAATTATACGTTCGCATTACAGTTGTATTGGTCGCCGTTGTTTCATTTTGCAGTGGCGTTGCAGTTCTTTACCAGTCGCTGAACCACGATCGTAATTGACACCCCGGGGGGGTCTGCGCCTTTATGCTGTAAAGTTTTCCAAGTGAGGATTCTGCCAGTCGCAGGTGTTTCTTTTGTAAAGAATAAAAGTCAAATTGAGTTGTTAACGAGCGGTAATATTTGTGTCGCGGTTTATTCTCGCGCGTGGTAGCAATACTCTCACAAGCTGAACGCCCCCAACCCCTGTCGTGGTCTGCTCCACCACGCGGCAAGAAGGCTTCGGCGAGAGTTTGTGAAGGAGAGAAAAATACTACAGTGGATTACTATATGGTCAATGGTTTGGGGGGTTGTTTGGCCCCACCGTTGTCTTTGATTTTCCATTCATGAAGGGGATGTGCGCATCGGCTATGTTCGTGCATGTTCTGATGCGGTTGATGATTGCGCCAGTTTCTTCGAGGAATGTCAAAGCCAGGAGGTGCAATGTTTGGTTCACGAATGAGATGTTCATTCTGGACATGCGCGTTGTTCCACTCCGTTCGCCGAACTAAGTTGCTATGCAAACTATCTGTAATGCCATTGTAGGTGGTGGGGTTTTTTTCTGTGTAAATCTCCCCAGTGCTGATGTTTACATAGGGTACCAGGCACTCATTTAAGGCTGAGGCGACCTCTTGGAGGCCCAGGACCGGTTCAAATAATTGTCACTGGTGTTGGCCATGAGCGGGAATCTAACTCGGGTTTCTGGGTTCGTAGCGCAGTTATTTAAGCTCAAACTCCCCCGACACACGCACCCATACATATAAACACACTCTACTCACATTGATACGTAAATACATCAACGCAGAAGGTCGTTCTCATTTTGAGGCCGATTGCACCTAGGGGAGAACCACCCACACGCATTCCACCCCATGCTGCTCTTCGTCTGGGTATCCCTAGTTCTTAACCTCGCTCATTTCAAGAAGTTTCTTGACCCTTAAATATTAAAACTGTAATCGTGCCTTTTGTTGATGACGGCAGCCCATATACCATATAATCAGCATCAACATCGTCGTCATCATAAAGACCAAATATCGGCAGAAGCAGCTACATTCGCAAAATTATAATTTCCATTATAAAAGACAGAAATATTAATGTTCATCATCAGCTATATCATTGCCTTTGCAGCATCGTAATCAGTTTTCAGCAATTACATCATCAGTGGTGCACAAGCACATCACACAAAACTTGGCACGTTCATTGATAACACTGGTCTTAAAAGGAAAATTATAAGAGGCGACGTTTTGGGAACTAGCCTTTATTCATATCACATTTATTAAAACAATAAGTTGGCTACATAATAGGCAGCATCTTCAATTATATCATGATCAGCTGCGCCAATTACCATGAGCAGCTTGATCAACTTACCCAATAAACATGCACCGTTGTTGGCATGTGGTTCAACCAAAAGTTGGCCCAACGTTGACGAAACGTTCCACGTTTATTGGGTGGCTAACTCGGGTTATACAGGGGTGGTTTTGTAATTGTTGAGTACAGACCTTAAATTGACATTTTCCGTAGCCGTGCCCTTGACATCACCGGTATAATTAAGCCCTGGTTGAATGTGTAGTTTATTTGGGGAAACGCATTGCGAATGTGTTTTGTCTGATGAATATACTAGCTCCCGTCATGGGAATGTGGAATATCCATCATTGGCTCGGTCGCTAAAGTTTGAGCTGGTCAGATAACGTGTGGTTGATAATGGGGGTATTTTTTTATTGAGACATACTTAGAGACTTACTTTAGTACGAGTGTTATGTCTCAATCTTCATTCAACCAGGAGAGGGAACCCTTATACTGTATTTGCATTTGTTGTTGTTGTCTGGTGCACAACTCAACACATTCGCCAAAAACACTTCACGAAAAGAAAAAGTATATAATAGGCAACGTTTCGGGCAATTGCCCCTTTTTAGGAAGAAGGGCAATTGCCTGATACGATCACCTGTTGTAATCCCAGCAGGGCATATCTGGACAGATGAATGCCATGAAATACACGCGCAAAGGTTACCGGATTGAAACGGGAAATATAATTTGGGACCTCCCTTGCCGGTATCAAAATATAAGAATAGGTTTTACGCTTTCTGGCAATAAAACAGGTGTTAAGATGTTAAAACACCAAACTTAAACCTTTTGCAAGGAATCACGTCTGCATTAATCACATTTCTGGTAGTATTTGGTTTATAATGCAGACGTGATTACTTGGAAAAGGTTTCAGTTTGGTGTTTTAACATCTTAACACAGCTGTTTTTATTGCCAGAAAGGGTCAAACCTATTCTTATAGTATTGCATTACTCTACCGTAAACAGTCGCGTGTGTAACGTGACGATACAGCCGTGTCTACATCTGCACATGGGCCAAGTCTCAAAATATTCACATAGCTACGTCACCGTGGCCTCAATCGCCCCAATGACGTAAAGTTAACGCGGTGACGTCGGACGTCATTAATCATAAACGTCAACGAAATCACATTTGACGTTGGCGACTAATCAAGCGACGTCGCGGGCTTGTAATGTATCACGCGTACGACTATGTGATTGCGCAATGAGATCGCGTGTTATTACGTCATAATCGGTGACCGCCATGGACTGTCGATGATCAGTCCGCGCGCTCGCCGGGGATGACGTCACGGGTCTCAATCCGGCAATGTCGCTTCTACGTAGTGACGTCATCGAGTGAGACTTTGCTCCATGCTGTGGTGGGTTGCCACCTCTGTGGGGTGCTGGCGTTTGTATTCGGATGGCAAACATTCTACCGGGATCTGGTGGCATTGTGTTGAACTGCAGGACAACAGCATTGTGCTCGGCACCGCGTAGTTTTGATAGACCAAGGCTCACTGAGAGATTACGTACGGTATGCGGATATGGTCTTTGGGGCCGTCCATAAATGACGTCACGCACCTGGGGGGGGGGGTCAGACATTTGTGACGATGTGTGACGAAGGGGGGGGGCGGGTTGAGAAATGTGACGTCACATCAAAATGCGCAACCTTAAATAAATATAGACAACACGTTCTATTTAATTAAATAGACTTTTTAATAAATGTTTTCTCCTTCAACATCAGAGTGCAGCGCCACATTAAATACGCACTACAATGACAATAGTTTAAAGCGATTTGAAGCATGTTTTATATTTTATTTTGGGGGGGGGGGGGGCAGAGCTTTGTGACGTCATATTTGAGGGGGGTGTCTGACTTTCTGTGACGCCATGTGACTGGGGATGGGGGTCAAAAAACGTCCAAAATCGCGTGACGTCATTTATGGACGGCCCCTTTGCAAAAGGTGGGTAACCCCTTACCCACTCACAAACGCCCACTCCCTGGCGCATTAATTCACGAATTAATTTGCAAAGTCACTCGATAATTCACCCACTTAATCACGCACTCAGCCACCCGTCCACGGGGGTTGCTTCCTGTCCAGGGACTTGACAACTTTGTTCGGGTGGCAAAAAATTGATTTGTACCGATATCTGGTACCGCTCTTTGTGTTGAACTTGTTTTACAGTAAACTGCACAGTTTTCATAAACAGAGGTAGGTCAACAGCGGAAAATGTGCCGACCCCAAAAAGGTACAACCTGTGACAATTAATGGTTCAAAATAATAATGACAAAGGTATTTACTGCTTTCTGCGCATTGTTTCGCGAAATATGGGCTCGACCTTTCACCCCTTTGGGGATGGATCATTTGCCAAAACAAGTGAAAAGAAAGCATTAATATGTTATCACGCACACACGTTATCACGTTCCACAACGTCATTTCACTTCAAACGTAATTACGTCATCACGTACATCCGTGGGGCGATCAGTAAAAATGTAAAAACGTCGGCGCACCCACGAATGCTCAATTGTCACCCAAATTTAATCTGCGTATGACGTCAAACGAATGGGCGGGGTTATACACGAGGCCCCGCCCCCTGTTGGGCTGGGCGTGGTCTGGAGTCACATCCATTCCATGTTCAGAATCGGAATATTGATTTATGCTGGAGAAATCCGATGAGCTATAAAGCTCTTTTTGACAGATGTCCAGTAGGGGTAGGTCAGAACGTTCTCCTTGGGGTGATATATTATTTAACCTTTTTTTAACCATGTAGTTCGAGAAGCTTTTCATGGCTGTACCAAAGGAATTTCTATCTGGTACAGATACAATGGGAGGCAGGCAGATCGATGCCCGAGTGCGGTCAAGAGATGGCTCCCTATTGGTCGATCATGCTATGAATGCTGATGATCTCGTAGTTGCTGCTCACTCTGAGGAGTTGGAGGCTTTACTGCTGGACCTGGAGTGGCCGATCAACTCCACCAAAACTAAGCACTTTCCTGGTAACTTTATGTCATCCAATTCCCTATATGAGTCATAGGGCAGTTTTCAAACCTGGGCAGTGTGTTTTATGCACAGGTCCGGTTTGGAAGCGGAGGTCAATCTCCAAATCAGTCGAGCGGCATTATCTTGTCATCAGCTGCTGCTTCTGTGTGGAAGCTACCTTGTCGCTCCACACAAAGCTTCAGGTCTTCTCGGCCATAGTTATTGCCTCCCATCTCGATGCTTGCGAATCATGGACCCCTTTGAAGGAACACATTCATGGTGGCCTGCCTACGATCCATCCAGGGTTTAACCAGGCTGGATTGTGTCATGAACTCACAAATCTTTGAAAGATCTGGGTAAATTCCCATCGGTGAGCTCCTCCGGCAGGCAAGGCTGCGTTGACTGGGCCATGTAGCCCGCATGCCCAGCCACCGCATGCCCAAACAGCTTCTGTTTGGCCGGATAGCGGGCTAAACGGGCGCAGCACGGGCTGGAGGAGAGATGGACTGATGCGGTACAGAAGAACCAGGAGCTGAGTGGATTTGCCGATGACTGGTACCAGCGGTATCAAGATCGGCCTCTGTGGAGGAGGATCGTGAAGGATGCTACTGGGCAGTTGGGAGGCAGTCGCCCTCCAACAACAGCAGAGGATCGACGCTCACAGGAACGAGCGGAGCGCCGGGCGGCTAAAATGCAGAAAGTTGGCACAATAAGGGGGCACAGCTGGTGCATCTGCCAGTCATCTCAGTCAACCCATGGGCACGTGGCTCTGTCCCGTGACAGAATCAGAATATGTATTGACACTGGAAGAATCCGATGACCTATGAAGCTCTTTTTCTCAGACGTCCAGTAGGGGGCAGGTCCAGCGAGCCTGCGACACTTCACGTAGCTTCGGAGTGCCACCTCGCCTGGTGCAATCGGCGCCGTGGTGACGTCAACAACAGCACTTCGTGGCGAATGACGACTGTTGTTGTTGTTGCTTGATGGGGGGAGGGTGAGAGGTGGGGGGGAGGTTGAGATGTGGGAGGAGGGTGGGGGGGAGGGTGAGAGGTGGGGGGAGGGTGGGGGGACGGTGAGAGGTGGGGGAAGGGTGAGAGGTGGGGGAAGGGTGAGAGGTGGGGGGGAGGTTGAGATGTTGGAAGAGGGTGGGGGAGGAGGGTGGGGGAGGGTGAGAGGTGGGGGGTAGGTGGGGGGGGAGTCCAGCACCGGCGCGCGCGACATCACAGCTCCCGCGCAGTGACGTCACCGAGTTTCCATCTGCGCGTGACGTCACATAAACAGGCGGAGCCATGGTGGGTGGGGGCGGGGAAAGATGAGGGGGGGTGTGTGTGTCAAATATTGACGCATGCGCAGTGGGGCTCCTCACACAGACACTTGTCGCGCTGTGGTCGTCCGCGTCGCCCCCTCGAGTCGCCAGCAACTGCGGCTTTCTTCATCGACTCCAGCACCTCAGCCTCGCAGATTCACAGCCCCAACACACCCCATCCCATCCCCTCCCACGACCCACCAGCCTCCTCAAGCCGTACAAGTCCACGGCGTCATGCTGACGAGGAGGCCGGCGGCCGGGAGGCTGCGCGGGTAATCGGCGGTGGTGGTTGCAGCCTGGTTTGCTTGCGAGAGAGCGAGGAGAGAAGTCGCCTTTGGGAGAGCCGCGTTGGAAGCTGCGCATCCGGTGAGCGGTGGAACGAGAAGAAGCGACGAGAAGAAGCGACGAGAAGAAGCGAGGTGAGTCTGGTCCTCCCGAGCCCCCCCCCCGCCCCCCCTGGTTGAGGATGGTGGGGGTTTGTGATGTGGTTTGTGAGGCGATGGACGTGGAAATTCGCGCACGAGTCGACGCCGCTTCGGGTTTGATTCGTGCCTGAAATTGTGGGCGACAACGGAGCCGAATTGGGGAGTGGAGGAGGAGGGAATCTCCGCCCTTTCCCTGACAGGGACGGCGACCAGGAAGACCAAAAAGGGTCTGATTGAGGTGAGGTTTCTTTAGTCTGATCTGGGTGACATTTAGTTTCGGAAGATGATGACGTGGTGATTGATCCATCTGCATCGGCGGCAGGTCCAGTTGATGTTCAAGTGATTGAGTCTGGTGGATGTGATGATGTGCTCGGGTGGTCAGTTTGATGAGGTGAAACAGCCTCCGATTCGTATTATGGTGACGAGTTGCAGATTATTAGATGGGGCATTTTATTTAATTGAGGATGATGACTCGAGCGTGTTGTTGATGCAGATTCAGTGTGGTGGGGTCACGTTTGATGGAGTAGTTGAGTCCGCTCGATGATGTGGATCTGGCACCGATTCGGATTTCGTGTTTTTTAGTACGAGGCAGGCTATGATTATTAAACTGTTGAGTCTGGACCGAATGATGAGCTGCATTCGTCCGAGATCCCAATTATAAGATGTTTTAGTCGGATCCACGTGCAGAGTTTTAGTTTGTACTGCAGATGTGGTTTAGTCTGATAAAGATAGTGGCGAGGTTGACCACACCCTCAGATGCACATGTCGGTGAGGTGTATCAGTCATCTCTCCAAGTTCGCGAACATTGCCACCACCATCACCGCCACCCCGTGTGTAAGAAGTCTGCAGTGGTTGTATCATACAGAAGCTCTCCACCATCGCTACATGCATGAGGAATTTCCACCTCTGGCATAGAACAGGGATGAGCGCTACCCCACACCCATTTCGGTGTCGAGATACTGTACTTTCACAATTGTTGTCATCGTGGTAGGTGCCTCCGCCCGCCTAAAATCTGACCCAACTACTTCGCCAACAATGATCAACGCAACCTCACACTCGTATGAGACAGAGAGACGGGGACACCTGAGCTATTGTGGTTGGTATCTCTTCAGCCCTTGACGTGGGTGGTCATCTCTTGGAGGTCATCTCTTGGCATCCACCTGAAATGGGTTCGAATAATTTCTCGCCCCGTGCCACCCGCTCACAGATGAACTCCTCTTTCATGGAGGCAAACCGGTCCCTGGCCGTGGCGGCCACGGAGGCCGTGGCGACACTGGTGCCATCGTCCGGGGGGAGCGCCGAGACAACCGTCACGTTGGCGCCCATCGGCCCCACAATTGCCCCCGACCATGGCAACGTCACGCTGCCGCTCATCTTCCTGCAGACGTCGGCCGCGCAGGCCATCTCGGGCTTCTTCGCGTGGTGCGCGCTGCTCATCACCTTCCACCAGGTGAGTGCGTGGTTGACGGTGGGGGCAGGTGTAGTACGTGGGCAGCGGTAGTGTAGTGGTCAGCGTGCTGTGCTACGCTCACGGCCAACACCTGTGACGATTATCTGAACCAGTCCTGGGCCTCCCCTGGGTCGACTCGGCCTCAAATACATGCCTAGTACGGTGTGTAAACATCGTCTCTAGGGAGACACAGGCGGTCAGGCGTTGGTGCTGGCCAAACCACCCCCTCGTGTGACATTCCGGCCTTCATAGGTGCTTGCTAACAGCACTTGCCCCAATGGTCTGTTAAGGCTATACGGGGATCTTTGTTGTTTGTAGTAGGCATTGTAAGTGTGGCTGGTGTGCTAGGTTGTGGCAAGTTTGGATGGTGCTACTGGTGTGGTATGTTTAGTTGACAGCACAGGTGGGAATGGAGGGACAGGTGTGGTAGGTGTGGTGCATGGGTAAGGTTTCCTAGGTGGTACTGGTGGGGCTGGCATATTTTCTCCTCCATAATTCCTGTGTAGTGAGGTTGATTGGCTGCTGTTTTCTGTTATTTGTTCAACCACCCGAGAGTCCTTTGAGATATAGGTGTTTGATAGTTATGTAGCTATAATTTTATAAGTTTTGAAGGTTTTTTTTTTGGCTCGTATTTCAATTTGGATTTTAACCTCCGTCTTTTTGCGAAATTATGAACTCCGTTGTCAGTCTGTATTTGACCAGGTAACAGCTCACTGAGGGAGCCGAGGTCTTCAGTAAATAAAAACATGGGTCGCAGGTGAGACCTATGGAAATTAATACCAAAAGAACACTATTCTTAAGTGATTGTTCAAGACCCTGTGACGTGATTGGGGAGTGGAGATCGTGCTGTTGTCATAACCCCGAACGTTACTCCCAGCCGAATTATCAAATATATTATGGCCCTTGCGTAACTGCAGGTTCAAAGTCTCTGGCGAAAGAGATAATCTCATGGGGCTGGTCACTTGAATCAACAGAGGTAAATTTAACGCACTCCCAGCTCGTTTGAGATTTGAAGTTTAACTTAGGGCAGCTCGTGTTACTAAACGCTCTTTGTTACAAAGTAAACACTCAGCGGTGGTGATTTAACGCCGTTTGCGTTGATCCGTTTCAACTGATGAGCAGAACGCCTCCACGGAGTCACGCAAGGTCAAGTTGAATATTAAAGTGCTGGCATCTCAGCAGTCCTTGAGCCAACAAGTGTCATTAAATGTATATATATATTTTTTAGAATACGCTGAGCACTAGTTTATTTTGGGCACTTGCTGTTTTTGTGCTCATCTTTTTGTTACGTGATTAATTTCTTACTTATTTTTGTGATGTGTTGAATAGCGATCGTGATTGATATATAATTGGTTAAAAACATTTTGAGATCTGGGATGAAATACCAAACTTTGCTCTTTGATAGTTCCCTTTAGCAAGCATTCCGGCTGCTAGAATAGGCGTTGACGTCTTGACTCCTTGTAACTTGACTCCTCAGAAAGAGAGATCTTAGCTAGGCACACGATTAAAACATGCGCTTGGAGAAAACCCAAGCAGCACGCAACATTCATTGTATAACTTGGTAACATAAACAGTGAAGAAAAGAAGTTGTCATGTAAATTTACTCAAATCACGATGCCTTTTTGAAAGCTGGGTTTGTAAACAAAACAAAAACTTGCTCCTGGGCGAACCTGTTTGCATTGCAAACGAAAGGGATGGCGCATGTGGTATTTCCTCTGCGCTCTGTGGGGGAAGCACTGCATTGTGTGGCCACGTGACGATGGGGTCACCGTGTGGCAAGCATGCTCAGTGTGGGTCATTCTGGGTTAGGATAGGGCACGGTGTGGCCAGCAGGAGAGATGCTTGCTTGGCAACATGGCTCTGTGGGTTATTGTGAGCTATGATCGATGACGGTTTGGCCAGCTGGGTCACTGTGGGTCATGGTGGGTTGGGATAGGTATTATTGTGGAAAGCTGGCTCAGTGTGGGTCATGCTGGGTTAGGATAGGTTTTGGTGTGGGACGCGAACTCAGTGCGGCAAACTGGGTCAAATATAGGTTACGGTGGGTTAGGATGGGAGATGGTGGTTGACGTTGGATCAGAGCGGGTGACAGTTGGTCAAAATGGGTCACTGTTGCTTGTGGTAGGTCACATTGAGTTATGCAAGGTCAGGGTTAGTATAGGTCATTGGTCACAGTGGATTAGTTTGGGTCATCGTAAGTTTCATTGAGTTAGGTTTGGCCAGGTGGGTCACATTGCATTTGGTTTTGGCAGGGTGGATTAGGTTTGGCCACATGGGTCATGGTGGGTTAGAGTGTATGGATGATATTGAGTTAAATTTTGGTCATGGAGAGCCAATGTAGATCAGGGTTGTTGAGCGCTCATCACCGGGTTCCCAACGGGCATGCACATGGACGTGCACATGGACGTGCACACGGGCGTGCACACGGGCGTGCACACGGGCGTGCACACGGGCGCGCACACGGGCGCGCACACGGGCGCGCACACGCCGTTCATCGTCTCTTCCAGCCCGATTATAAAATTCATAAAGCGAATGCGTACAGTAACGACTGAGAGAACAGCTCCTTCAACAGCAAAAGCGGCTTAATAATGAGTTTGCTTTGTGCATTGTTCTTGCGCGCCGCATGTGCGTGCGCAGGCTGGGGCCAAATTTTAATTTAATGCGGTGTTTAAAATTCACTCTGCATGAGCAGCAACAGTGGGAAAGACCCCGTTTGCTCATGGCGAGCAGAGACGGCCCCATCAGGGCCTGATCACGAACCACACCCACCACCGGACAATGCCCTTGCCATTGCAAATACAAAACGTTTGTTTATTTTGGAGTCGACCTCTTGGGGCAATGATGCGGTCTGTTATGGGCCATACCAAGATTCATATCCCCTCGGCTGAAACTATTCATGGCTTCGACCCAGAATCTAACGTCCGTTACGATCTGCCCTCCCCTGCTCGTTGAGCTGGTTTGGGTGGTGCATTGAGTGTTCCCCGGTGGTGCCACTGGTGGCACGGGTGGTGTGTTGATACAGCGACACCGTGTCGAATGGGCGGCACTAATTTGTTGCACGCTCCTCCTCACAGTGGTGGCGATGGCCCTGACAGCCCGGGTGTGTGTGCTTTGTCTGGGCTAAAAAAACAATCGGCATCCATACTTGCGTTTGTGTATATAAATATATACTGTATGTATGTGTGATCAGTGCTGTAGTGTTTCGCATGTGATATGATTTCAGTTGACCTGGATTAGATTCTAGACCATGTACAACATCAATGGTGAGTATCTGAAGCAGTCCTGGCACTCCGCTATGTCACTTAATCCTTAAATGAGTACCTGGTGTGGTGTGTAAACATCAGCACTGGGGAGACAAATGCGTATGGGTGTGATTCTGACCCTCCTGCCCAATGTCGACTTTACTATGTGCTCGCTAACCAGAGCTCTTGCCCCAGCATTATCTTAAAATTTAGATTGGAGTTTTTTGCACGTCGCTTGAGCGAGTGCATCTATATGTGAGTGTGTGCATTCATACGAGTACATTTGGCTTGTGCGAGTGTCAGTGAGTATATGATAGTTTGTGTGTGAGTTTGTGAGTACCTGTGTCTTGTGGGAGTGTCTGAGTGTACGAATGTGTGAGAGGGAGTGTATCTGAGTACCTGTTGCTTGTGTAAGTGTCTGAGTGTACGAGTGGATGAGGGTTAGTGTGTGTGTGTGGTATATGTGAGTGCATGTGGCTTGTGTGAGTGTCTATGCGAGTGTACGACAGTACGTGTGACTTGTGTGAGCACCACTCTGCGCCGCGCTTCGTTTAAAATAGACCCGGTCGCCCGACCATGTGGTGACGCCATCGGGGTTGCATGGTTTTCGTGGACCCTTCGAGTGAGACAGGCATAATGTGTGCAGGGATCACGTGCCGTCACAGCTCATACTTTGGTTGCTGCTGACATCTGCTCACGGCAGGTTACCTACCACAAAGCGAGGTGTGGTGGTTGGTGGTGGTGGCTGCTGCTGCTGGACATTATATTCGGAGCAGAAGTAATTTAATGCGGGGTCGGCACGCGTTGCTGCCTGAGACAGCTGTTATAATTTAGGAGGCAGAACTTTGTAATCGTCGTGCAGATTTGTAAGACCTAAACACGCTGGACTGGGAAGTGGCTGGGGATGGCAGTATAGCGATTGGGGTTTGTCAACTCATATTTTCAGAATGTTGAGTGTTATGCTGTCACATGCGTTGGTTTTCCCCGCCTACTCTGGCTTCCTCACATTTGCAAAATATTTTTTTAAATTAAATAACCAAACATCTGAATACAGGCCCCTCCTGTGAATGAGTCTCGAGACTTTATTGAGCGCGCTCTTGGGAAAATACTGTACATTACATTGTAAAGTAAATTATATGTTGCTTGAAGCTCAGTTGCAAAAGGCAGCTAAAGTGCAATATATACAATTGAAACAAAATTACAACGCCTTTACAAGACAGCACCTCGCGTAGACCCTCCATCGAGGATGAGCGATGCCTTGATAGCGACACGGCGCCGGCTGCTGTTTGTTTTCTTTTTGCCCGGTGGCCATGGGCACCGGCGGATGATTGACCCAGGTCTGTATTATCCAATAGGCACTGTAGACACTGTAGACACTGCCCATGCCCTACGAAAATTAAAGGTTCTACGATAATAACATTTTTACCATGTTTTTTTGGTTGGATATCTTATCGATGAAAATTAATGGGATCATTTTAAAGATGCGTCATCCGATATGATAATCATTGTAAAACATTTTGAAGAAATGTTAGCTTATGTTTTTAGGCTTGCCTTTACAATAATTTCAAATAAAATCTGCTTATCTGCAGCACGCAGCGCGCTTCCATCGAATTAGGGCACAGACTAAAAATTTGACAAGCATCGTGCGGTACTGCATCCAGCGGCTGGATGAAGTCCAGCGGCTTGATGAAGTACCGCGTGGAACAGGCGAGTGACAGCGGCGGTCGTAACATAGGCAGTACCAACTGTGGAAAGTTA